GTGTGTGTGTGTGTGTGATTGCAATGTCCCGGGGCCTCGTGTGTGTGTGTGTGTGTGTGTGTGTGTGTGATTGCAATGTCCCGGGGCCTGGCGTGTGTGTGTGTGTGTGTGTGTGTGTGTGAGATTGCAATGATGCAGGATCCCAGAGCATTTGAGGAACGGGGGCAAAGTGCGCCCAGGCCTTCGACGGGAAGGAATGCATTTGTGAGGAAGGAATGCGAGTGATAACTTGTTCTGTGCGTGAGGCTGTGAGGCGGTGGAGTGTTTTTTCAGTCTGTGAACTGAATGCAAGCATGTATGCTAAGGTGTTGGGTGGGTTGATGGAGGTGGTCAGCCTGGTAAAAGAGTCGAGTGGGGTCTCAATCTGGGGCCCCCTGCACGCAGAAGCCTGGAGGACACTGGGGACAAAAGTAACAGAGGGAGACTGAGTCACTGAGAATGCAGTTTTCATTGGTCATCTCTTAACCGATCCCACGAAAGGGGCTGGGGACCCTGGGTCCTGTCCCCCACGGGCTTTCTGGCAGGACTGGGGATCCCAGAAGGGGGGATCCAGGCCCAATATAGCACTGGGGGAGCCGTGGGGGCGGGGCCTCCATAGCACCGCGGGCAGGGGCAGTCCCAACGCCTGGGCAGCTGTGAGTTCCTGCGCATGTCCAGTACGCAGAGCTCTTTGCAGCGGAAAGGGGCCGGTCAGTAATAGTGCATGCGACCCAGGGTGCCTGTGGCCGTGGGGCTGGGGCCCAGCGTGCCGGTGCCCAGCAGGTCCGGCTGCCCGGTGCGCCAAATCTCCCTCAGGATCCGTTCCCGCTCCTCCAGGCGCTGCGCCCGCTCCAGCTCCTCTGCCGACGTGAAGACGTTGACGCTCAGCGGCCCGTCTGGCTCGGCGCTCAGCTCTGGGCCCGGCAGCGTGTCGTCGGGGCCCAGCCGGGTCACCGTGTCCTCCTCGTCGTCCTCGTCGTCCTCGGGCTCCAGGGTGCTGCTGCGGGGGTCCCGGCGCGGCGCAGGGGCCCGGGGCCGCGGGCGGGGCGCGCAGGAGATACTGATGACTAGTAGACACAGCGTCAGCAGCAGGCCAAAGCAGACTCCCAGCACGAAGTAGAGGCCAAAGCTCTCGGGGTTAGCTGGGGGTCAGAGGGCAGAAGTCATGGAGGAGCCCTGGCTCCCTGGCGGGTGGGAGTTATTCCATTTCGGAAGGACTCCAGGTTCTAAGTTTTGGGGGGACAAGGACATTACTCATTTGAAAGACATTAGGTAGCCGCCATCGGGCAGGGAGGGACTGGGAGGATGGGGCAGGGAGGTGGGGAGGGAAGGGGTGGAGTGGGGCCCATGCCCCCACCCCCGGGGGCCCACCCTCACCGCGGATGTGTGCGTAGGCCGCCAGGCTGTTGCTCAGCAACTCCATGTCCCTCCGTGGGGCATCCATGCTGCTCTGGGGGCGGAGGGACAGCCCCCCTGTCAGCCTGCGAGGTCAGCAAGGTTAGATCCCACTCCCCAGCCCAGAGCTGATCCTGACCCCGCTTCCTCCGGGTAGCTCCCCTCGCTGAAAGCGCAGCCCCAGCGTCCGCCCTGGAGAGAGCAGCTCCCTAACTTTGTTACAGACCTGGGCCCTGCCCTGGGGGGATCCTTTCCCTGGGCGCAGACGTCCCTCCAACTGGAGGGGTCAGGGAAGTGGGCCGCAGGAGGCTCCGCCTCCTTGTGGGGTCCCCAAATGACGCCCGGTTTCGGCGTCCCGGTAGTGGGATGGAGGAGCGAGAGGCGAGTGCCTTCCCCACTCCCAGGGCGGGCTCCGGGGAGGGGAAGCCACCTCCCTCTCCCATCCTGCCCGCCCCGCCGGGACCCACCGGCCCGGAGGCCCGAACTCACTCACCGTCAGCGCCCCGCTTCCCCGCTGCCGGCCCCGGCGCGTCCGGCGGCCGCATACACCCGGGACCCGGCCGCTCCCGCCCCGTCCGGTCCCGGCTGCCCCACCTGCCCCGCTCGGCTCCCAGGCCGCGGCAGCGCGGGCCGGACACGGGCCGATGGACCAGCCGGCGGAAAAGTTTCCTCGGAGGAAAGAGGAGGGGCGGGGCGGGGCGGGGCGGGGGGAGGCGGGGAGGAAAAGGGCCGGGAGAGGAAGGGGAGAGGAGCGAGCGACTGGGAGGAGGGGGAGCGAGGCCGGCGGGGCCGTCTGCTCTCCCACAGGAAACCGCTGGGGAGGCCGGTGGCAGGGTCCCGCCCCCAAGCTACTAATAACAAAAATAATAATAAGGATGAAGTTCTGCCTAGGTGCCAGGCGGTCTGTGTGTGTGTGTGTGTGTGTGCGCGCGCGCGCGCGCGCCCTTTGTAATATTCTTTCATTTAATTCTAAACACCCTATAAAGTGAGTGCCATTGTCACCACTTGACAGATAAGTAAACTGAGTCACGGAGTTTGAATAATTTGACAAAACGGGCAGGATTTGAACCCACTGCTCTTTGCCCCTAGAGCCCGGGGCTCTTAACCCCTTCTCTACACCTTGCTCTTCCTCCCAGGAGGCCCCCTCACCCAGGGAAGACTGCCCCTCTTCTTCAGGCCTGCCCCAGATGTCAGTTTACGACAGAGGGGCTCTCCTCCCCTCCTCCCAGGGCTCGGGCTCGGAGAGCTCCTGTCACACAGGGTTAATGAATGTCGGACCGGAGCTTAGAGCGGGAGCAGGCCAGCCTTGCAGAGCCCAGCCTGGAGCTGCCGCCGCCCCGGTGCCCCGCGCGGAGCCTGCCGCAGAGACCCGTTTGCCCCTGGCCAAACCTGCAGGTGCGCGCGCATCCGTTGCCACCTGGGCTCGGCTTGGACGGGCAACGCGTTCTGTGATCCATGCGTGCGGCCTGGGTGATCTTCCTGCTCAGACTCTCAGCCCCCCCCCCTTTCTGGGCCCCCCTTCCTGCACTGGGGCTTGGGTGAGGGGGAGGCCTTCTTGGCGGGAGCCTCAGAGAGGAGGAGGGAAGGAAGGGGGAGAGGAAATTGCAGACATAGCTGAAGGCGCGGCCTGAGGCCTGTGGGCCAGTGACCCCCTCTGTGTGTCCAGGCTGGAGACCCCCCACTTCCAGTCCTGAGACTGGGTTCAAGCAGAGGGCAGATGGAGATGGAGAAAGGACAGACCAGGTCCCACGGGGATGGGAAAGGACCCCTGGGTGTCGCTGTGACTGTTGAGTCTGTTTTGGGAGCGCGCGTGGAGGCATTTCTGCCTCTTTCTGTATTTTTGTGTGTCTACTTTCGTGTGGTATCTGCTGGGGCATTTGTGTGCGGGCGGCCACCGCTGCGTGTGAATCCCTACGGCGGCCGGTCCTCAAATGCTACCTCCCGGGAATGGGGGCTCCGGCGGGAAACAGGACAGACACAGGCCTCTGCCCTCGTGGAGCCGACTCCAGGGCCGAGAGGCAGGCCGTGAAGAAGGTAGCGTCGGCGCTGCTGAGACGCAGACGGTGATGGAGCACACTTGCAGGCCGCTCTCAAGGGGGCGCGGGAGGTGACACCGCATCCTGCCGTGGGGCGCCTCTCTCCCGGGTGCACGGGAGGGGCGTGGGGGGGCCCGCGGGGGAGCTCCGACGTTACTGTCCGTGCGGTGGGGAGCCCTGAGAGGCTGGGGGGCCGGGGGCGTGGCGTCCTGGTTCCTGACGCACTTTGGAGAGACCCGGGTGGGGACTGGCGGTAGCAGGCGGCGGCGGGGCGGGAGCGGGGGGGGGGGGGGGCCGGGGCCGCGCGGGCCGCGCCCAGGCCTTGGTCCCGGAAGTGCCGCGGAGCAGGTGAGGCGGGGTCAGCGATTCCGGCCTTGCCTGTGGCTGTGAGGGAAGGACGCAGGGCCGCCGCTGGACGCTGGGCCCGAGCCCCTGAGGGAAGCGTATGTGGGGTGCAGGTCTGGGGGGTCGGACTTTCCTTTGAGATGCGCATTAGATACCCCGGGGGAGGTGTCAGGCGGGGGACCCCGGGAGGAGTCTGGGCTGGACATGGGTTTGGGAGCCCTGGACACAGAAGGTGGATGGAACTCCCCGGGAGTGGGTGAGATCGGCCTTGGAGCCGGGAGGGACGAGAAGCCGCTGAAGCCCGAGCTCGGGCTGTGCAACCTTGAGGGGTCTCCTGGGGGAGGAGTCGGGAGATCGTGGGGGAGGAGTCAGAGCCGGGTGGGATGAGGCTGAACGGGAGGCCGGAATCTAACCACAGGCTGTGGTATCAGTGGGTTTCCGTGGGCGCATGGATTCACTGAATGCCTTCCACCCATGCGGCTGCCGTGCTCTGACCCACCTTGGGTCTTGAGGATGTTGTGCCTCGGGCGGTATGGCGCCCACCTGGGCCTTCCTGAGGGGCCACGCGCACGCCTCTGCATTCGTGAGAGCACGCAAGGTTTGGGATCGGTTTGTGTCAAGCTGTTGCCGTGCTATGCGGGCCTCTGGGTATTGCTAACCTGCTGACACAGGTGTCCGTGCCTTGGTGGGTGACGTGTGTGCTGGGAGAGAGTCAGATGTGACTCAGCCCTGCTGAGCAGACTGGGGGGTTGAGATGCTTACTGGTCCCTTCAGAGACAGGGACACACCAGAGTGTTGCCTTCGCCTAGGGGGATGCTAGGCTGGGTGGGAGGAGGAGTAGCCCTGCCCTGGAGGGTTCCAAAGAGGCTGAGGGCTACTCCTGGAGGCCCTGGGGGCTGTGCCTCTGGCCCAGGTGGGCGGGCCCCATGGCCACCAGGCCCTCCTGCCGACCTGCCGACCTGCTTTCCTGCCTGCCTCGCTCTGCCCGCTCTGCCCGCCTCGCTCTGCCCGCTCTGCCCGCCAGCCAGTCTGTAGGCATTCCCAGCCACCTGCTTTCCGGTCGTGCTGGCTGGGATCTCGGCATACCCATCACTCGCCTGCCTGGCTTGCATCCCATCTCTCCACCTGCTGATTTCCTCCCTGTCTGCCGGCCTGTGACTGACCTGCCCACTGGTTGGCTGCCTCTCTGCTCTCCTGTCGGCTTGTGGGACTAGAGCTTTGTCACCTTGGGAGGCACAGAGAGTGATCCTAAGATGAAACTCAGGAAAGTCAGGTCTAAATTTTTAGTTTTTTATTTTTTAAAAATACTTTTATTTAGGGTGCCTGGGTGGCTCAGATGGTTAAGCGTCTGCCTTCGGCTCAGGTCATGATCTCAGGGTCCTGGGATCGAGTCCCGCATCGGGCTTCCTGCTCCTTGGGAGCCTGCTTCTCCCTCTGCCTCTCTCTCTCTCTCTCTGTCTCTCATGAATAAATAAATAAAATCTTTAAAAAAAAAATACTTTTATTTATTTGACAGAGAGAGAGAGAGAGCACAAGCAGGGGAAGCAGCAGAGGGAGAGGGAGGAGCAGGCTCCCCGCTGAACAGGGAGCCTGATGCGGGGCTCGATCCCAGGACCCTGGGATCATGACCTGAGCCGAAAGCAGACGCCTAACGACTGAGTCACCCAGGTGCCCCAAGACAGGTCTTTTTTAATGAAAGAAGTTAAGACAGGTCTTGGTGGGAGGTCAGGGGGCTGAGGGACCCAGAGCCTCTGGGAGGGTTGTCAGGGGGGCTGGAATATTCAGGGCCCAATGCAAAACCCAGCTCTGCTCCCTTCCTCAGTGGCCAAGCTGGGGGTCTGTTCCTGACACTGGGGCCTTCCCACCGAGGGGTTCAGGGGCTGGCTAGGTCTTAGATGGAGGGAAGAAGGTGACCCACTCATGGCCTCCTTAGACCTGCCCAGTCCTCTGAATGCCTCTCAGCCCCTGGGACCGCCGCTGGGAAGAGGCCCCAGTGAAATGTGCAAAATGAACCATAAGAGTTGTGGATATTGAGTGCCCTCTTGGCACCTGGTACTTGGTTGGCTAAGTGCTATGTGCCCTTCATCTTCAGCTCTCCCAGTCACCCTGTGCGGGTCGTAGTGGGACTCCCATCAACGAGGAGGGAAGTGAGGCTCAGGTGAAGCATGTATGTGTGGTCACATGGCTGTAAGGGCTGGGGCCTGGCTCCCAACCAGTCTTCCACGGGCTGGTTCTAGGTCATGGTTCCCCACCTAGTCAGACCCAAAGCTGCCTCTTCGTGATACTCTGTATTGATCCTTTTATGCTCCTGAAGTGAAATTTGTGGCTAATATACCCACCTCTGCATCTAATTAAAAGTATAAAGAAATAAAAGGTAATGATAGTTGTGACGTGGTCACTCGCTGGGAACGTGACAGCTCTGCAGACTGGCGCTGGGACACTGCGGTCATGACAGGGTCGGAAACGGTGAAGCGCTCTTGGTACAGTTTTGAGCAACACAAGGTACAGATTCCCTCCACTTTGCACAGTAGTTGCATTCCCCGAAGGTTCAGTGTATGTTATGTGTCCACCAGTCCTTTGTGTTTATGTATAAAAGGGAGTTAGATTCTTGGCTCTGGTCATTGTAAACATTTTCACTCATGTTGTGCAGGATGTAGAATCTGCCTTCCTTGTGGGGCTGTCCCTGGCCCCACCCTCTAAATGCCAGCAGCACCCTATAATTCTGAGGCCCCCCCCCCTCCTCCCATGGACACACAGAAAAGAGGCCTGCCCTCATGGAGCTCAGCATCTGAGAAGGGAAGGCAGATATAAGCAATAATCGGACATATGATATCATACCAGGCTGTGGGAAGCACAATGAAGAAACATAAAGAGGAAACCTTAAGGGGTTAGAGAAGGCCAGGTGTTCAGGACAGCCTCTCTGAGGTGACATTTTGAGCAGAGGGAAGTCAGGGAGGCAGCCATGCAAATTATCTGGGGAAAGAGCCTTCCAGAAATAATAGCCCAGGCAAAGGCCTTGAGGTGGAAGCCGGCTGGCTCTTTCGGGATCAGCAAGGAGGCCAGTGTGGCTGGCACAGGGACGGAGGCGGGTTGAGGGGCCCACAAGTTAGAGAGGAGGCCAGGTGCAGAGCTGTTTGTGGAGCTTTCCAAGCCACAGACAGACCTCTGGATGTTATCCTGCCTGGGACAGAAGCCATCAGAGGTGCTAAGCTGGAGAGGGACAAAACCGGGCTTGTAAAAATGCTCATTCTGGCTGCCATGTGGCCCCTGGGCGGTTGTAGAGGAAGGGTGGGAGCAGGGAGGCCAGGAAGCAAGAGGGGGCTCAGACAGGGTGGTCGCAGGGGTCAGATTCTGCCTGGCCGGTGACAGGATTAGCAGGGGGTTGGACGTTGGGTGGGAGGGGGTGGGGGGTGGGCAAGAAGTCAAGGCAAGCTTGGCCTGATCAACTCGGCCACTGAGCCTCCATTTCCTCCCTTCCCCACTTCAGAGAGCTGGGCAGCTCCAGTCCTGAGGCCGCTGGGGCCCCGGAGGTGGCTCAAATGGGTGGAAACTTCTCCGTTCCTGTTTGACTTCTCAGGAGCACAGGAGGCTGTTGATCCCACCCACCCCCCCCCCAACCTTTGTGCTACTTTCCACTTCCGTGGCTTCTGGGGCTCACAATAAAAACCGAAGAGCCATCTGACACGTTGAGGTTGAGAGACCGAGTTCTGGCGTGCGAGCTGCGTGCCCAGCCCGTCCCAGGTGTGGACAGGCGAGTAGGCAAGGCCGGGGCCCTTCCCGCACGCGGCGGTCTTGGGTGTTGGTGGCCGGTAAGGCTGACCCGTGCATGTGGCGTGGAACGGAGGCTGATCGGGTGGGGGGGACGGGAAGGAGGCGGACGTGGGGACGAGACCAGGCGCTGCAGCTGGCAGAGCCGGGGCGCCTCCAGCCGCGCACCCCCGATGGCTCGGATGAAGCGCGCTAAGTGTGTGTAGGCGGGAGTGGCCGGGGAGGTGGTGTGCAGGTCGGGGCGAGGGGCCGGGGCGGCTCTGGAGAACCCGCACAGCCCGCCGTCTGCACACTTGCTGCGAAGGGGCTCCGGGCGTGGGCTCGGCTCCTTCTATGACCTGGGGCCGTGTGTGGGCTCCCACTCCCGTGAGTGGGTCTGTCGGGGCGCCGTGGGGTGCTGGGGGGGCCGACCTACCGTCAGGGGCACACTCCGGTGCTCGAGCCGCAACGTCTAAATTTAGGCAAAGGAAGGAACAAAGAAAGGAAGGAAGGAAGCCCTTTGGCTGCCTATGGAGGGGAGCGATGGGGGAGGCCAGTGCAGGAAAAGGCCTGCCTGGCCCTTCTCACCCCAGCGGCCCTGGATGGGCGTGGGGGCACATGGACAGTCTCTGGCCGGGACCCCCCCCCCCGACCCCAGATGGGGGTTTGGCAGGGAGAGAGGATTGATACTGGGCCAGCCGCAGCCGCCCTGGGACGCCTCCTGCCGGCACAGGGCGGGAGCTGAGCTAGCCGAGCAGGGAGGTCCCCCGGGGGCACT